AAAAGAGACATATCGAAAAGATTATCAGGTAATAACAGTAATACCACCGGTGCTTCAAAGTATCGGATCTTTTCAGATAGCTTCCCTGCCTAGGAACGATTGTATATAAAAAATTCAATATTCGACAATCATTCATTGGTGAAAAAAGTATATCCGGGAAATATCCGAGAAAACTGCCTCTTCACTTTTTTTGTAACGCATATAGTTCCACAATTAATTCATCAACTTATGTCAAAGCGGAAGAGCCGTACTTTACATGAAAAAAATAACAGTTAATTCAAAATAGAAATGATTAGTAACATTTAAGAAAAGGAACATTCTAGCCCATTCGCCCCTTCCCGTATTCATAGGATGATTTTTATGCTTACAAGGTTGAGTAGGGTAGGGAGTAGCTTGAGTATTCCGCTTTGCAAAAACTGGTGGATGTTCACCAAATGTAACAATCATTACTTGGATCAAGCCCAGCAAGTCTGAAGAATGCTAAAAAAAATGAAAAACGAGATTGATGAAAATTCGTATATCGATATCTATTATGTAAATTAATAATTTAAAGGATTCTTACAGGTACCCAATCGTGTAAATACGGCAGATAAATTTTCCCGTTATGATCCACATACATACTGACTTTTATAGTCATTTCTGCCGTTGGTTCCACATAGCACATTGGTGCATTGTTTGGGTGTGTATCCATCAGCCAAATGCAGATGGGTATATTGTACACAGAACCTGAATCAAGAGACAAAAAATGTAAAGAAATTGCCAGTAATACAAGTAATAAAAACAAGTTCAAAGTGGAAAAGAAATAAGAAGTACTGCATTCACAATCTTCATAGTCCTAAATTAATTATTCACTCTTAATGTATTTTTCTTCAATTTAATTCCAGAATTTTATGTCCATAGCCACCAAATCACCCTATTAATGACTTGCCCATAATGTCCAACAGCTCAAAATTTTGATTATTAATGTTTGAATGCACTCTATTTCTTTCAATCGAATCTTTCAATTTGTCAATCCAATGATAGAAATTCGAAAGTGTTGATTGTTACTACACCAATTGAAATAAAAATATGCCTATACTATCCCATAATCCCCTAAGGTAATTTCCAGTGAGAAATAGAAATCTTACAACATGATTAAACTTTTTTTGAATTTCTATATTTAAAAATGTGACCAGCAACAAAAATCATTGAATGTCCTCAGTAAAAAAAGGCAAAAATTTATAACTAAATTAGGGAAATTATAGTAACGTTG